TCTAAGTGGTTTGGTCACTTGCCCGTTCTCATACCGCTTGCTCTCAGTGTCACCTGGAAACTGGTGTGGGAGGGAAGCTCCAAGTGCCACCGTCGGTCCTTCAGGGCTCCAAGGACCAACACTCTGCGTGACCGTAATCCCCAGTGGGAGCTCTGGCACCTCGTTTGTGTGCTCACACCCGCAGGAAGATCACACCCTAATGGGAGGTAAGTCTCACTTAGTTTTGGTCACATCTAGCACTCTATGCAATAGCAACTATAAAAGAAATGTGGGTAGCTCGGGGTAGCTCATATAGCACACTTTGTTTTCCAATGCTTTTCCAGCTCCTGCTCTTAGAAAGAGCCATCTTTCCTTTGCAGGGCTTTAGTATTGGAAGTACTTTTACATTCACGTTTGAAAGTATTTGAGGAGTTTGGGTGAGGTTTATTGAATAAAGAGACCAAAAACGCTTAGACCGTTTTAGGATTCTGCCTCATTAATTCCTTTGTATGACAATCACCTTTAATTTCACCCCTACAGCACTCTTAAAATCAGATGGACTAAAGGTGTGAAATCTTGGGGAAAAAATGGGAATGAGGCTGTTCTTGATATGAAAACGACCTTTGAACTGGACAACAGGGAAGAATTACCTATCTGAGAAGCTTCAGGTAGCCACCTAATTCAGAGCAAAAAAAAGGAATACTTTGGATGTAGCCAGCCTAGCATCTTCAGTGGTCCAGCGTCAGCAGTGTTAGAGCAAAGAGGGGGCAAAGGCAGGTATTCTTGTAAGGTGTTGCATGGGAAAAGCTGGCTATGAAGAGTAATTTGGGTGCAGCCTTTCTTTTTAAAGGAAATTACATCAAAGATTAAGATCATAGGATTTTCTCAAGATCCGTAGATCATATCTACTATCGGTATTATCTGTTCATGTTGTATTTCTCATCACATTTGTGTAGATGCCTTAGAAATCCCATTTAGTGGGAGCCATAATGTGAAAGTCTTTAAGAATTATTTTGAAAAGGGTTTTGCTCCGGCAGCATAGAGAAGAGTGAGCTTTTTTTCTTTTGATGCTGTCAAAGTCAGTCAAAAACGGCATGATGTCTCATAGCAGCAATCTAAACACAGCAAATAGTTTTGATGTTAAGCAAACAGCTTTAGTTGAGTCTTGAAATTAGGATCATGTTCCTGTGCTGCTTTCCCCTAGATCTTGGGGCATTCACTTCTAGGGTAACCAGAAAAAAAAAAAAAAAATAGTTCTAAAGGTTGCTGATGTCACTTTGTCTGTTAAACATTTCTCATGACCCAGAGAGCAAAAAGCAGTCCTGTTAAGCTCATTTTTCACTTCCCTGATGACATCACCCACTGTAAAGTTGTTAGGAGATACAGTGCAATGCCTACTGATCAGGACAGGACGCCAAATGTGATCTTATAATGTTGTGGTTGTGATTTAAAACAGAAAGAATGGTGGATATGGTGCACGTATCTTGCTTTCCTTGGCAATGATCATCAAAACCAACGAGTAGGTTTCTCCCTGTAGCTGCTACTTTGCTCACCTGCACCCTGCAGATAAAAGAAAAAATGTCTTGACAGCTTAAAAAGGAAAAAAGATTTTATTGCCGCAGAAATCTACAGACTGGCGCAAATCTGAGCAGGGTGCTGAATACGTCTGGTTCGCAAAGGTTGCTCGTGGCTGCTGTGCTTGGTGCAGGGATTCTGGCTCCCCCTGTGCCTGTACAGCATTGGACAATGCTAGGTTTAAATGACTTCGCCATTAGTAATGAACACCAGTGGCATCAAAAGGCTGGTAACATGCAATGCCAGTTCTGTACTTGGTGATGGGCTTGATGTTACACCGAAGTAGCTGTCGCTTACACAAACATTAATTTCAACCAGAAAGCTTATGAAAGCTTGGTAGTCAGTCTTCCAACTTTTTATTGATGACTTCTAAATTAGATAGAACAATTGAATTTATCTTACTGAGCAAGTGGTAGAAATCTGCCTCACCGTTTTCCAGGGAGTAAATGTTGCGTTGCAAATAAGAGGAACTGGAAGGGTGCTCGGTAACACAGCCGCTGGCTGCTCCCCGCCTGCTCCAGGCACTCCCAGCAATTACACATTAGAAACTAAATTAAATTCTGCATATGACAAGGCTTCTATGGAGCTGTTTTCCTGCTGTCAAGGGGGTCTGTTGCATGAAGACAGTAACTGTGATGAGATACTACCCCTATTCAGGTAACATTTCACCATGTCTTCATTTTTACTATTTCCCATTAATACTGGACAGCTTTAATTTATGTGCTTTCTTTTTTTTCCTTCACACAATATTATATTTACAAACTGGAAACCTTTCTTTACAGTTGTGTATAAATCTTTATAAATGTCAGTAATTAATTTTAAAATCTCATTTATCAACATATGATTAGTGAATTAGTTAAGGTTTGAAGAATAAATGTCTGGTAATTAGAAGCAATTTTGTACCAGACCCTCAGACAAGGTGATGGATCAAAGGAAGACCACAGTGGGTAGCAGGCCACTGCGCTCTGCGCTCAGCAGCAAAAGTGAGGGTGCAAAAGGACAGGGGCCAAAATGAAGACCTAAACACTGGAAAGCAGCCCTAAATCCCAGGAAGGAAATTTAACACAGGGAGTGAAGCAGTAGAAACTGCCTGTGGGATTTAAAGAGCCATGAGGCTTAGGGGACAAGGCAAGAAACCAACTGAAAGACAACAAGCAGACCAGAGAATAGCATCTTACATCTCTATTACTCTTCTGCAGACTTTCTTCTTAGGTACAATCTCAGTAAATGCACCCCCAGAACATTCCTACCAGGTGGCAAGTGTAATGCTTTTCCCAGAGGATGTGATGCTAACAAACCTATTTTTAAAAGGAGGGCTCTTCAAGGACTACAGATCGAGGGGAACAGAATACCAACGTTGTCCTTGCTTCTACTTAAATCAGTGGCAAACTACTCGGTAGTGCCAAACTGGGTCCTCTTCTGCATGAGGGAGCAGCAGGAGGGGGCCTTGTGCTGGTCGCTCCAGCGTTTCCTCCCTCCTCACCCCAGCAGCAGACGGCAAGTGAGTTGAGCTCCAGCTCTCTAATGAAATTCCCAGGCTTGTTGAAACGTTATTACGGGTGCACTAAGATGTGCTGGCCTGGCGAGGCACGATGTAGTTTTAGGACAGTGTTGTGTGCACGCCGCCTGTGCCACCACCTACCAGGGCAGGTGGGGAGCTCTGGGTACAAGGCTGACCACAAAGTCCCTTCCAAAGCCACTGCTGTTCTTCGCACGCCAAAGCACACTCCTGAGCCATGCAAATAATTTAATAAGAAATAATGATCCAGCTCAGTTTGTTTTGAAAACTCAGATCAGCTGCAGAACTCTTCCTGGCAGAGTAAAATATGATGATAGCAACTAAGTGTGGAATGACCAACACACTTCCTTAAATCTTAGCCATAACTGCATTAATACCAAAGACTTGATTAGACAATTGAAATGACTGTTAAGGTCAGCCTGAGTAATTTGATCAACTGCAGTATTGATAATGCTTATTATGAAAAACACTATTACTTTCTCTGGACAAGAAAACATTTCTAATGTAAACAAGTAGTTCGCTATATAGTGATAAAGATTTTGGAGTAGTAGAAGAATAAAAGCTGGTTATCTAATTCAGGGACGTTAAAGGGAAAGGTTGCTATTTAATTCCAGGAAATGTAGGGGGGGGAGTATGAAAGTTTGATTCCTTTCAAAAATAAGGGAAGCAAAACACTCTGTGCATACAAAGATTAAATTGTGGAGGCAGAATGGCAAAGATTATTTGTGTTGCTTCTTCCAAACCATTTTCCATCTATTTTAATCTCCTTATTTCTCAGTAGCCCGGCTGCTCAACAAACTTTCACGTTATACTTGCAAAATTAAAAAGTTCTGTGAAAGCTACTGTTCATTTGGGAGGAAATGACTGTGTTGAGACGAAATGTTCCTTTAAAAAAAAAAAAAAAGCTTTGCACAATAACCAAAGTATATCACCAAAAAAAAACGTTTTCAACTATTTTGGCTGCCCTCAAACGACCTTTAAAGAAAGATTCAAAGATCCTGACATCTTTCCTACAAACTCTCTCCCTTTTGCTCTCTACAAAAGGGCCAGGTGGAATTTAGAGTGACAAAACCCCGTGTACCTCCCTGCACAAAGCACTCAGGTTTCAGACACACACCTTTGTGGCACCTCCTCGAAAGAAAACGCGTTGCTGGCTGAGCCCGAGCACAGGTCCCGCTGCTCCTCAGTGCCCTCACCGCTGCCTCCACCCTTCCCCTGGAGGCTGCGGGACCTGCAGGGCTGCAATTATGGGGATTTGAGTGAACTTCTCGTGCTGCCCGTGCTGGAGCCGCTCTGTGCCTGCGTGGCGGGGCGATGCTGCCGGGCTCGGAGCCACCGCGGCGCGCAGCTCTGCTCGCAAGGGTGCTGGGGGAGGTGGCCGAGTGCTGACTGCTGGGGTTGGGGTTCGGTTTGGGGTTAAAATCGCCAGCTGAGGCACAGAGGCACACGGGGCGCGATGCTCGTTTCGCTCAGACGGTTTCGCTGCTAGGATGCGCGGTGCCGGGCAGCCGATGGCAGCCGGGCTGCTCGCAACTTCTCGCGCCCCAACAGCTCTGAGGGGGCTGCACAGCGCCCTGCGGGACGTGCCCGCTGTCCTTCCACCAAAAAGTTGTGTTTGTGTTTTCACGGGGAAGGGGTGTTTGTTGACGAGACCGCTCTTTCTTTTGTACCAGCTGCGCGCAGCTCCGAGGCGGTGCCTCAGGAGGGCTGAGGGGACGCGGGCAGACCGCCGCCCTCCGGCGGCCCGGCCAGCAGCTCCCCTCGCCTCGGGGGCACGGGGGCCGCTCCCCCGCCCCGCGGCCGCCCGGGGGGGCCCGCGGGCTCCGCTCCCGGCTCCTTCCCTTTGTGCCCCGGCGGCGGCCGCGTTGTCACGGCAACCGTCCCGCGGGCGGCGGCGGCGCAGGCCGGGCGGGCGGCAGGAGGCGGGCCGAGCGGCGCAAGATGGCTCCCCGAGGCGGCGGGCCGCACTGAGCGCGGGCGGGCAGCGAGCAGCCACACCGGGGCCGCGCCCGGCCCCGCCACGGCCCCCTCGGCTCCGCGCGTCCCCCCCCTCCCCAGCCCCGGGGCGGCCCCAGCCCCAGCGGCCTCGCCTCGCCTCGCCTCGCCCCGCGGGCGCGTCCCGCCGCCGTGCCGTGAGCGCCGCCGCGCCAATGCCAGCCCCGCGCCGCCCGGCCAGCCCCCGCCGGTGCCATGGCTCTGACCTTGTTCGGTGAGTAGCGGCCGCGGCGCCCTTTGTCTGCCGCGGGGCGCGGTCCGCGGGGGGGGGCCGGCGGGAGCTGCCCCGGGGCGGCCGGGCAGCGGCGGAGGGCTCGGGGCGGTCCCCGCCCCGCACCGGCAGCGGCTCGCGGGGGCCGGCCGGGGGCTGGCGGGGCCCCTCCGCCCATCGCCGTGCCCCGGTGGAGGCGGTGCGGCTCCGTGGAAGTTGGCACCTGCTCTGCCGGGGCTGGGCTGGGCAGCGCCGTGCCGCGGGGTCGGGGTCCCGCAGCCCCGGGTGCCGGGCGGGGAGCGCTCAGCCCACAGGTGGGGGTGTCCCGCAGCCCGCCCGTGTCACGGCAGCGGGAGCGCTTCGGGGAAGCACGGCTCGTTACACGGGGCAAGCCTTGTAGTTTTGTTAACAAAAACCTCAATCCTGGAGTGCTGAACGTACACACTCCTGTTGTGCGTAGCTAACGTGTCGCTGCGACCTTTGGCTGCAAAACCCAGGCTGTTCTAACGCCAGCTCCTGAATAACGCGGTGTTTGTAAGCCAGGTGCCTGTTTTCTAAGCTTACCTGATTAGTTTTTAATTCATGTGCGTTTTATCTGCTTAATGACGTTTTTCTATTAATATAAATTTGCATTACAAAGGAAATTGAATCAGATGCTTGTGTGCTATTGCATCTGCTATTAGAGTAAATGACATTGATGCATGTAAAAGCTAATGAGCAAACAGAAGATGGAGTGGGGTGCCCTGCTGTGCCTGGTTTCTAAATAAAGTCTTGCCAAGGGTAAAAAACTCAGGACTTCATCCTTAAAAAAAAAAAAAAAGTTACAGTAAAATGATGTAGCAAATAAGATTAACGTGTGCTGATAAATTAATGTGAAACCCTTCATAAATGTAAGAGCTTTGGAGTACACCTTAAAACCATCAATGCAAGAGCCCGAGCGGGATTTGCATGAAGGCAGAAAGCACGCAGGGTATTTGCAGATGAAGTTGTGATTAACTTACCATTTAGTTATTGTGGCTTCCTGTGTTGCTCTGTGTCCGCTGAGCTGATTTAGCTTGCCACACTTGGTCTCTTAGCGCACAACAAAGACAGAACAAACATGCTCTAGACTTAAAGAACAGCCTTCAGCTTTTATCCTGAATTTTGGCTGGCTGCGGGTGGGCACATTTCCAGTCACCAAGCTGCAGCTGACCTGTAGTAACTCATTGCACATGTAAGCCATAGAAGAATATTTTCGATTAGTGTTAACATGAGCCTCTTTCCTCCAAACCAACATCAGCAAATGTGGGAAAAGGTGGGGGGAAAAAAGTACCTGGATGAATGTATCTGTTTGAGGGATTAAACAGCTGTAATTGTATTCTTTTAAGGTCACACCTCTCTGATACCAGTGGAACTGTCTTGAGCAGACACCTCCCTCAGGACCTGTTCGCTTTGGTTCTGTGCATTCACACAAATTCTAGGCTCGATATAGCACCTTTTTTTTTTCTCTCACCCATAATGGTGTATTTGAAACTTCAGATGTTCTACGTCTGCTTGTAATAGGATGTGCTATAAAGCGTATAAAACTTGAGATAAATGACCTTGTCAGCTTGGGGAGGAAAATCCACCAACTTTGCAGGGGTCCTCTCAATTAATGTGTGAGCACAGCAAGAGGAAGAGGAGAGGGATGGGAGATGTCTTAACGTGCTTTCATCCATACTCCTGATGCCTTATGGCTGTTTCAGTGTATAATCAAAGCCTGTGCTGAGAGGGGACAGGGCGAGAGCAGGGTGATGTTGTCGGGGCTCCAGATTAAGACAGACACCTGATTATCCAGCAGCTGGGAGGCCAGGTATGCCACATCGTTTCTCCTTGGCAGAGAGGTTGGGAGCTCTCTGTTTGCAGGAGATCACCCTTTGCCACTGGCTACTGGCCATGGTTTGCACCTTCAAGGTGTCACTGTTTGGCTTTCGGAAAGCTGGTTGGTGAGAGGAGCTCCTGGTGTGTCAGCAGTGCTTTTCCTCTCCAGGAAGAGGCTGTTTCCCTTGTCCTGACTACTTCTTCCTTTGCAGTCACAGCTGATTGTCACATTTTCTTCCTATGTTGCATAATAATCTGGACGACTCGTCACTTTCTCAGCCTTAGTTACTTTAAAGTTCTCTGCATCCTGTCCTGCCTACCTGGTCGTGACCTCCCAGGGTGTCCTGCACTCGCTGCTGCTTGTGTGGGTGTTGGTGGGGGGCTGCCCACGGTCCCTTGACGCGGGGTACAGCAGCCTCAGCACCTTGTAAGGGAGAGGAGAAAGAGCAGCCCCTGCTGGAAGCAGTCGGAGAGGGGAAGGCATGGAAGTTCCTGGTGGAGCAGGTGTGCAGGTGTAGCGCTGTTTTTTGTCCTGCAGCAGGTTCACCACACGCTCAGGTTGTGGTCAGTGAAGGTGTAGCCCCTTTTCTCTCCTGTAACCACTTCTTCCTGCCTGCTGCAGCAGGTGGAGCAGAGTTCAAGCTGTGTCCATCCCTGTCCCCTTGCAGCCCACCGTCAGTGGCTTCGTGTCCAGCCTGCTGTCATTCCACTGGGATAGCTCGAGTGCGGGAAAGATGACAATGTCAAGGAAAAAGGAAGAAGTTGTCCCGTTGCTACAGCTGTTTGCTAAGGGTGGTTTTGTTTCTGGCTGTCCTGAGAAGTGTTTAAAGCAAGTCAACATTGTACTTTGAAAGGAAAATGTTTTTTCATTGTGTTTCAGTGCTTATCAGTTCACTTTCTGTTCATTTGTTTGCTCATCAACTGTCTTGTGTGAACAAAGGAAGACATTTCAAGATGGCCAGGAGAGCTCTTCGTGACCATATGTGTCATTAGTTATTCATGCTACTGCCTCTTGCTCAGAGCACACCCGTGGCTGAAAACTCCCCTCCTGCATACTGGTGGGAAGAAACAAGAAGTGAAATGATTCCCATTGAATATGCGGAGTGCCTGATCCCCGATGAGTGGCTGCAGGTGAACGGGATTAGAGACAGAGCTGTAGTCAGAGTGACAGATACGGTTAGTTAAGGAGATGGTGAATAAGGACAGTTTAAAGAGAAGTTTATAGACAAAAAAGCAGAAGAAAAGAAAAAAAGCAATGCGGTCAGGAAGGGTAGGGACAATGCAGCTGATTATGCCTTCATTTCTGGTGTGCGTAGGTTGTTGAAAAGGCACCCAAGTATTAATTTGCCTGCTTAACAGAATTCTTTTCCACAACTACGAGCTCTGGTGTATTGCTGCACAGAAGTAATTTTCTATTAATCTGTCTATTGCCGTGGGTATGAGGCAATCCTCTGAAATAGGCTCTGCCATACTTGAAATGCTAATTAACAACTGGCTGTGTTCAGCTCTGTGCATTGTGGTTACTGTTCTCCACCGAGCTGCACCGTCTCACTGCCGCTTCAAAAAGCAGGCTGTGCTCACGCTGCCACAAACACATAGATGTATTTCCTGATGGGACAGCCTTGAAGTAAAGGTGTCATATAGAAATGAAATCAGCCCTTGTTCTTTAAATGCTTGTTTTGCCTGTGTGGGGAAGACCTGTAAATTTTTCTGTACTTGGTTGGCTTAGTCAAAGGAACGTGGCCAGTCAAAGTTCCTCTAAAAGCAGCTCCAGCGTGTCATCCAATGTGTGGAGTCGCTGAAGTAGGAAATACGCAAGACTGGATCTGCTTACTTCTTGCTGTCTGTACAGAACAGGAGGTAAATAGGTGGCATGCAATTCAAATTGTTCACCTGTGTGTTTTTAGATGTAGCCCTGAACTTCTCATAAAACTTGTGGCTAGCTATGATGGCAAAAGTTTACCAACAGAGTGACTTAACCAAAGGGACAGTTTGTCCCAGAAGAGTGGGTTTTGAACCTGTTCCTTCATGGGAATAGGAGAGGTAAGTTTTTCACAGCATTGGTGCATTTATGACAGGGCTTTTGGCACTATAAGAAATATAAGTGTGGTGTTCTATAGGAATGGTAGACACAGACTAATTTTAAGGGAGATTTCGGCAAGTTAGCATTTAGTTGTGATAGGAACTTGAAATTCTTTAATTAGACAAAACAATAGGCAAGGGCAGTGGTTTTTGTCTTTTTTCTTTGTTTTTTTTTTTAAGCAGGATTTAAAAGTGAAGGTGGTTTAAGCACGGATGGAAACCATGTTAGAGGTGAACTTGATCTTCCAACTCCCATTCATGTATCTGGGATGGAAAGTGGCCAAGTGCTGAGAATCATAAGATTATTTTCTCCTAGTTGCTGTCCTAACCTTACCTAATTTGCAGAACCTAATGAAGCAAATAAGGAGAGCAACCTTGAAAAGCTTTTGCTGGCAATGCAGTCTCAAGAAAAAATCGAAAGGGAAACCTGCTTAGGAACTAGGAAAAGAAGATGGATCTATTAACTGGCAAATTGGTATCAATTGATCAAAATATCACAGAAGTGACACTAACACGTATAAATGAGGTTGAAAAATGTCAGTCATGGCTTCTCAGCTCAGTGCTTGAGGCAATGGCTAGAATAAAATTGTATTTTCCATGAATTGTGAATATTGTAGAATAATCTTGAGAAAGCAGAGGTGTGGGGATTATTTCTGAAGCTGGAAAGCTTGTGGGCATGAGTAATTAATATGGGGTTTGGGAATTTTCTCCAAAGAGAGAGATTTCTAGTAACCAGTAGAAGATATTATTGGTTTGCCTTGGGCTCTCCAGGAATCTATCTGTTCTTACTGGAATATGTCAAAACACCTGCCCAGGAACTGTAGGCTAGAATTAAGTCAAGAATTGTGTGTAATAAACAATTTCCCTTCTCTTAACTAAGGGGAAGTAGACAAGGAAGAGAGGAAAATGTACACGGGTAACTAAAACGGAGCACGGAAAGATTTAAAATCCTGTCAGCATCAGCACGAGCCCTCTGAACTTGTCCCCTCCTGACGATTGTCTGCAGCCAGCCTTTCATCTAATGGAAACCCTCTCGTGATGCAGCCAGCTCAGGCACAGCACAGGACAAATTCACCCCTTCC